TTATATAAATTACAAGTAATTTATGTTTATTATGCCTACCCATAGCATGTCTTGCGAAGATATGCTACCCTATTGACGAACTTTTTGACTTGACCGATGTCTTCTGGTAAACCGACGAGCAATGAAATGCCTACTTTTAACATACAACGCACCCATCGATGTAATTCTGAATCGTCATTTAATATTTTATTATAATCGAATTGTGGTAAATTGTTTTTCATTTCGCTACCCCATAGCTGTTTGGTAACTGGATTAACTTCAATATCATCATAAGTGATAGATCGATGAGCTTTTAACCAATCTAATTCAAAATTACTAGTTGTATGTTCGCCATCGTTTATCCATTCTAAGTATAATTTATCGTTTTTATCGTCTACTCGGGCTGTCTTTATTGTTGCATTAGCATAGTTGTGATATACAGCATTCGAGATAGAACGTTGTTGAGTTTGAGGATCGAAGCAAGACGAACAACGACAATTATCGCGAAGATAGATATGGGGATAATTTGTAGTTTTACCATCGTCCCATGTTACAGATATTAGTTTATCTTGAACTCGATTTTCAACTTGTATCGAATAATATAGCTTAGGAGATAGCCAATATGGGCGACGAATCAAGTTGGAAGAAGAGTATGTAACTGCACTTCGAGATGCGCGGAACAAACTGTTGATTATTGTAGACGAAAACATGGCCATGATTTAATCAAAGATATTGGACTAAATTTAATGTCGGACTGTTGTAAATGAATGAAGGCTAGAATTGCAACCAGATAAAGGTTAACTACTTCATAAACGCAGTATTATATTGTCGGACGCGAAAAATATTTTTATTAGAAAGAACTATAGGACTAATTTGGAGGATTCTTAATGGACCTACTATAGACCGATATTCTTAATAAAAACAATAACGGATTCTTTCAGACAATAACAAATCGCTTTAGGTGCCAATACGGTTGTTACAATTAGTGCGGAATGAAAGCAAATGAGAAATATTCTATTTACATTACATATGGACTTTACTATAGTATTCAAGTCGGGATTGTGTATTCTATAACAGATACACAATAAGAACTGATTTTATTGCATTGCAATTATAATTGTGAATTAATTACCGGTGAACATGGCTTAATTTCTACCTTATTGAATTATATTCCGCTATTGAATATAGCCACCGCCCCTTTATGCAAAGTAATTAGTACCGGGTGCATAAATGATTGGCTACAATGTAAAGGTCTTAAATAAAATTCAGTTCTCACAAGATCCTGAAATTTACTAGAAGCTTTTGTTCGTCTTCCTACAAAGTAATCGGATCGAGGCGTTTCAGCCAAATTCGGACAGTATTTTAGCGTATTTACCGTATTTACTGTATGTTTCCAGTAGCTTAGCTACAATGAAATCGGAAGGTAAGACGAAAAAAATAAGGTCGAAGATCAACTGCAAAAAGGCTCCGATTTTACTTCAGATACAATGCAGGGCGCATCGATACTTTATTCCGATCCTATATATAGGAAAGTGTAGGAAAACACGTCGGATGTCTGATTCCGCGATAGCAGTATTTAAAAAACTGTACAATAATATTACATTCAGATTCTACTAGTTCAATTTTCATAGATTATTGCTATATTAATTAAGTGAATCTGTATAACATACAGTGTATGTGCTAGACGATTGCGCATATCATGCTGTGCTTTAGTCACTATTGCCAGCACGAAGTAATGCTAAAATTTGATTAGTCAAGCGTTCATGATTTTCATAGGATAAGGATGAAGGGATTAATTGTTATACGATTGAATGATTTTGGCAGAAGTAAATTTATTCATCGGCAATTGTTCACACGTAAATTTTATTAATTGATAAACACTAGATCATCACAACCTGTCAGGGGGAAGGGATTAATCGTAATACGGTTGATTAGCTTTTGGTAAAGATTAAGCTATCATAAATTGGCAATCGTTTACACGTAACTTTATTCATTAATAAGTACGATATCATCATAGCGCATCAATAGAAATGAAAACGTGGAAAATTATAAGATTATTCTTATTGAGGTCTTAGTTCTAGATGAAGATCTGGCTGTACAAATAGCAGAAACTTTGTTCCATCTAGTAAGAAGATATAACGATTGATACTGTAGTACTGGAGATAGTGAGTAGAGTATGAGCAGAATAGTTACTGCAATAGATGTAATTTTTGCAACAGTAGGGTTCATAAGACACTGGCAGAGTAAAACTCTAACATGAAAGCTGCCGCACTGGCGTAAAATTAATTTTTATGATCCTATCCTAAAGAGCAGCGTATTCTCTTCCGGATTAATTCGTGATGGTTGGATATTATAAATAAAATAATAGCTGATTCATTAGCATTATAAACCAAGAGTGGAAAACACGCACTTAGTTAAAATCAGCATACGTATAAATAGCAATGGTTATTGAGTCGGTGGCTTATCCCTCGCATGCATTTTGAATTTCTCATCTTTATCGATAGAACGAGCCAATTTACAGTAATTGGTGCGGTAATACATGAACGTAATGCCTTATTGAATATTTCTAATCAATAATTTGATCAGCTGATGTCTGATACTGCATACAACTGACGAAGCTTGCTTCTATCACTAGCGAATAGAAATAAAGCTAATTAATCCGGTAAGTTATGCGAAAATGTGTTCCGTATTATTTCTATTTAGAAGTTATCACTAGAATAAGAATGCCGGTAGCAATCGTTGCCAATGTTGTAATGTAGAAACTAGAAGCTACGTATGCCATTGAGCGTTTACCCAGTGTATTCGATATGCATTTCTTGCGTTATTTATTATGCTTAGAAGGCAAAAGTTGAGATAGCCTTCTTTTGTAGATGGTTACTGCCTAATTAATATTGAACAACATTAGCCAGCGTACTTCATCGTAGTTTCATGAATAGCTGCAAAGCAGATCGCAAAGAGCGGAGACATGCTGTCGTAGATCAAATCTATATTGAATATCAAAGACTGTCTTCTACTCTTTGTTGTTCGAGCGTACAGCGAAAGCATTTGACAAGTAATGGCTTTATTACGGACTGACTCAACGATTTGTTCGTTGCATGTAAGCAGCAAGCATTACCGCTAAACGATTTAAGTTGAAATGTCGATCATAGTTAATCTACGATCATATAGAGTACAATTAAGTAGATAGAATTTATTAGTTCATTATCCTCCTAAGAATTATTACAACACATTAGTTGATTTCTAAATGTATCATACTAAAATCATAGTCTACAGCTGTCAGAACGACACTGTAATTACTCAAGATACTTTAATAGTTGAAGCTCGTAGTAAGTTTTGCATAGCTCTGTTTATTGGAAAATCCTTAGGTCTAATGCACTGTATATAGACTCTGGTTAGCTAATTCGTTCTAAATTGTTGACTATGTAAGTCAGGATTTCAAGAATTTCGCAAATCATAACTTTTTTGAATCTGTTGACGTACGGTACAGTATATAAGTCCCTCGTCATTTTTATCGGCGAGAGGGGGGATCCGATATATCCCCTATCCCTTATACTGTAATTTTGAAATACGTATACAATCAGTTTAATCGATTCAAAATTCAAATGTATTGACATACCCTTTGCCTGCTATGTGTCGCTATCTCTTTGCTACTTATTTGTAATAAACTGATTTTTTCCCTGCATTTTCTATCCATCATTTGATGAACTGGATATAATATCGGAATATATTACAGATAGTAGATAATAAACCTCTGCCTTGTATGTGTCACTATCTCTTTGCTACTTATTTTTAATAGACTGATTTTTTCCCTGCATTTTCTATCCTTCATTTGATGAACTGGATATAATATCGGAATATATTACAGATAGTAGATAATAAATTATTCATATTTGCTAAAATTGAAACGGCGTCGGTAGAGGGCGCTGTATATTAAAATGCCTGATATACTGTAATGTTCAAATTTGGCAGCCAATTTTTGCATTGCCATCATTGTTGCTGGAAAATTCCTAATTTTAATGTCTGTCTTACCCTCTAATAATTATGGTCAATAATAGATAATAAATTAAATAAATAAAATAATTTATTTTTGCCGCATCAACTCAAAATAGTCAAGAGTGACTACCCATAGGCGTGAACGGACAGAAAAGGCCTGCTCTACCGTACCATAGGAAGCTGTGACTGAATTTTACATTACAATATTACAGTATGATTGAAAAGATTCTTACTTTCGATGTAGGAAGCTGTGACTGAATTTTACATTACAATATTGCAGTATGATTGAAAAAATTCTTACTTTCAATATCTATTGGCCGACTCATGATACTGTTGGATAGCAGATAATAAAAATGAAGTCATTGATTTCCCCTAAGAATTCATCAACGCATTACATACAATACTGTCAATTATGACTGGAAAATCCCCTAGTATTAGTGATTCTATTAGCGTAAAATGGTTGGCCATCACTGAGTGAATGACCTACAATCAGTGTCATCAAGATAAAAAAGCTTTTTCCATTTTTCTTCATGGTTTAGTACGATACTTGATGGCTATCACTCGTACACCATTCTGTTCTCGCCAATGACGGTAGATTCTGTGCTCAACTGTTGTCAATGCTGATGTCACTGTTTACCTTCAGAAGCAGATTGAC